CCCAGGGCAGCGTTTCGTAGCTCCTTAGGGGACTCTACCGAAGGCCCCAGTGGGGGTGCCCGCATGCGGTTCCCCCACCCATGGCAGCGCTCCGTAGCCCCATCGGGAGCTTCACCGAAGGCCCCAGTGGGGGTGCCCGCATGCGGTTCCCCCACCCAGGGCAGCGCTTCGTGGCCCCATAGGGAGCCCCACCGAAGGCCCCAGTGCGGTTGCCCGCATGCGGTTCCCCCACCCAGGGTCGTGCTTCGTAGCCCCATCGGGAGTTTCACGGTAGGCCCCAGTGCGGGTGCCCGCATGCGGTTCCCCCACCTTTCGTGGCCCCATAGGGAGTTCCACCGAAGGCCCGAGTGGGGGTGCCCGCATGCGGTTCCACCACCCAGGGAAGCTCTTCGTAGCCCCACAAGAAGCTCCACCGAAGGCCCCAGTGGGGGTGCCCGCATAAGGTTCCCCCACCCAAGGCAACGCTTCGTAACCCCATAGGGAGCTCCACCGAAGGCCCGACTGGGGGTGCCCGCATGCGGTTCCCCCACCCAGGGAAACGCTTCGTAGCCCCATAAGAAGCTCCACCGAAGGCCACTGTGGGGGTGCCTGCATAAGGTTCCCCACCCAGGGCAGCTTTTCGTGGTTCCATAGAGAGCTCCACCGAAGGCCCCAGTGGGGGTGCCCGCCTGAGGTTCTCCCACCCAGGGCAGCGCTTCGTAGCTCCGTCGGGAGCTCCACCGAAGGCCCCAGTGGGAGTGCCCGCATGCGGCCCCCCTAACCAGGGCAGCGCTTCGTGGCGCCATCGGGAACTCCACCGAAAGCCCCAGTGAGGGTGCCCGCATGCGGTTCCCCCACCCAGGGCAACGCTTCGTAGCCCCATAAGAAGCTCCACCGAAAGCCCCAGTGCGGGTGCCCGCATGCGGTCCCCCCCCACCCAGGGCAGCGTTTCGTAGCTCCTTAGGGGACTCTACCGAAGGCCCCAGTGGGGGTGCCCGCATGCGGGTCCCCTGCCCAGGGCAGCGCATTGTAGCCCCATAGGGAGCTACACCGAAGGCCCCAGTGGGGGTGCCCGCATGCGGTTCCCCCACCCAGGGCAGCGCTTCGTGGCCCCATAGGGAGCTCCACCGAAGGCCCCAGTGCGGTTGCCCGCATGCGGTTCCCCCACCCAGGGTAGTGCTTCGTAGCCCCATCGGGAGTTTCACGGTAGGCCCCAGTGCGGGTGCCCGCTTGCGGTTCCCCCACATTTCGTGGCCCCATAGGGGGCTCCACCGAAGGCCCGAGTGGGGGTGCCCGCATGCGGTTCCCCCGCCCAGGGAAGCGCTTCGTAGCCCCATCAGAAGCTCCACCGAAGGCCCCAGTGGGGGTGCCCGCATAAGGTTCCCCCACCCAAGGCAGCGCTTCGTAACCCCATAGGGAGCTCCACCGAAGGCCCGAGTGCGGGTGCCCGCATGCGGTTCCCCCACCCAGGGAAGCGCTTCGTAGCCCCATAAGAAGCTCCACCGAAGGCCCCAGTGGGGGTGCCCGCATAAGGTTCCCCCACCCAGGGCAGCTTTTCGTGGTTCCATAGAGAGCTCCACCGAAGGCCCCAGTGGGGGTGCCCGCCTGAGGTTCTCCCACCCAGGGCAGCGCTTCGTAGCTCCATCGGGAGCTCCACCGAAGGCCCCAGTGGGAGTGCCCGCATGCGGCCCCCCTAACCAGGGCAGCGCTTCGTGGCGCCATAGGGAACTCCACCGAAAGCCCCACTGAGGGTGCCCGCATGCGGTTCCCACACCAAGGGCAACGCTTCGTAGCCCCATAAGAAGCTCCACCGAAAGCCCCAGTGCGGGTGCCCGCATGCGGTCCCCCCACCCAGGGCAGCGATTCGTGGCCCCATCGGGAGCTCCACCAAAGGCCCCAGTGGGGGTGCCCGCATGCGGGTCCCCTGCCCAGGGCAGCGTATTGTAGCCCCATAGGGAGCTACACCGAAGGCCCCAGTGGGGGTGCCCGCATGCAGTTCCCCCACCCAGGGCAGCGTGTCTCAAGGAAGGGTGCCCTGCCAATCCGGTTACGTTCAACTTGCTGCACTCACAGATCATAAGACATTTTGAACAGGAGGCAGGACTGACAGGCCTTGTCGTTACTGTGGCCAACACCAACGAGACGCTGCACTACCGACGGCGCCGGCGCCAGCAGGCGTCAGTTCCCGAGTCCACCACTCGCCGCTTGATCACCCTGCTGTTTGCTGACGACACCAACATTATCACCCGTTTTCGCGACCAACGACGTGCGGAAAAACTGCTGGAGCGCATTCTGCTGGAGTGGGGCCTCAAAGTGAATCAGACTAAGTACGAGCGCCTCATGGACGGCACCACGCGCGGGCAGGACGTTTCTGCTCGGTTTCTCGGCGCAATGCGCCGGGGAGATGGCGACTACGGCACGGACACCACCGCGCGTCTCAACAAGGCTAAGATTGCTTGGAACAAACTGTTCAAGCGCATGCGCAGTGGGGGTTATCCGAAAAGTTACTGGGGCAGCTCATACAGGCGACGGTGATGAACACGTTGATCTTCGGTTGCGAGGTCTGCCCGTTCTCGGCCAAGGAGCTCCGCTCGTACGACGTCTTCTGGAACCGGGTCGCGCGCGGAACGTGCCGGCAGAAGATCCGAGAGATGCACGACGATCGTGTTACGATGGAAGATCTGCGGCGCCGGCTGGGGGGACCTACTGTCAAGACGGTCATAGAGATACGACAACTCAAGTGGTTGGGGACCGTTGCACAATTTCCAGAGGAACGCATGGAGCGACAGGCGCTGTCGTGGATCCTAGTCCCAGAGTGCGCCCTGCCAGTTCGCACTGGCCACAGACCACATCTACGCTCATACTACGTTCGTTTGCTTCGCTACGTCAATTCGCTGGTCGACGAGCCTCTTCGAGCAGCCTGGCCCGCAGCTTGGGTCGAGGTGGCCGGCGCTCGCGGCACGTGGCGCGCCCTCTGCCGGGCCCGCAGGAAACAACTCGATGAAGAGGCGCAGGGTGCTGCCTGGGAGGAGAAACGCCGACGGCAGGACCAGGAGGCGCCGACCCGAGCAGCACGGCGAACTACGGTGGACGGCATTCTCTTGGACGAAGGTGGCATTGGCAAGTGCCCACGTTGTGAGACCGAGCACATGAAAGCGGGTCTTTTGTCGCACTTACACCAATGCGCACGCAAGATGCTGGCGCAACGGGCGTACACGGCAGCACAGAGGCGGAAACGCTTGGAATAAATGCAGGCGCGCGTTGATCAACCAGTCGGTGGCCCCGTGGCTGGCGCCCACAATCCACCTCGAGCGGCCCCGCCGGTGCAACCATTGCCCGACGCCGATCCTGCCAGGCTCGCCGCACGGAGCGTTCTTAGACAGGCTGTCCAGGCACATGTGGGGCAGGCCAAGGCGGGCCAACAGGCCAGAGCCAAACACGACCCTGCTGCTTATTCCGACGGAGCCCGGCCTTGGGAGGGACGTATCAATTTCAGTAAATTTGTTTCTTACCGACACCGGCTGGCTGCTACTCTACAACAGGAGGAGGGGAGAGCGGAGGGAGGAGGCGAAGGAGGAGCTGTACCTGCACAGCCGGCTGTTCTGCCCCCTGTTCCACCACCGCCGGCTCCGCACCCTGTGCAACGACGGCTCCGGGGCAAGCAACCACGGGCGCCCGCGGTTCCAGCGGCGCCTCCGCCGCCTCCCCCGCTGCGATTGGTGCAACGACGCCCGGCATGTGCAGCGCCGAAGGACCAAAGGACCAAGGTTCGTACCACGAACTTGGGACGTGCGGGGCCACCCGGCGGGTTCGGAAAGCCTGGGGCCCGCCAATGGGTACACGAATTCATCGCCCAACACCCGGCCCCAGCCCATCATGCTGCTCGAGGTTGCAACGGGCAATGCGGTTATTGCAAGAGTTGCGTACGTTGCCAATTGCAGACGTGCTTCGGGGGAAAGTACATGGACTGGGGGTGCAGCTACTGTCGTAATCAAGTGCAAGAAATGCGTGGCTGCAAGAGATGACATATTGTGGGATACGTACACGAAAGCCCAGGTCGCTCCGAAGGCCCATCGGCCCCCCTGCCTTTCCGACCTGCCGGCGCCACCTTTTCTTGCCGAGCACGATCCTCTTCGATGTCCCTGGTGTGACGACATGTTCCCCAAAGCTTTCAAAACAGTGCAGCACACCGAACTCTGTTCAAGAATGCCGTTGTCCTTGTTCGTTGCACGAGTGAGAGCTGTCCAACCGGGAGAGGCCGAACTACCTGAGAAATGCAGTCATTGTGGTACAGGGTTTGATGCCCCCAACTCTCGTGCCAATCATGAACGTCACTGCGTGGAACGGTTCCGACGCGCCGGCCGGCCCGTCGGCTCAGGCCAGAGATTCTCAGAAACGGCCACTGATGCACGGTTACCTGCTGGGTACAGTCTCCCTCAACATCTACCCCCTCCACGGCAATAGTTGTTTCCAGCGTTAGCATGTGCAGCCTGCGCAGACTGTGCCGACACAGTCCAACATGTGCAGACTTCGCAGATTGATTGGGCACCGGTGTTTGGGCATTATATGTGGGAGGAGGAAGATGGGGCATGGATATGAGATATGGGGGAAGGCACTACAACGGTGGCTATGGGACAACAGCGGTGGGTATGGGATCCACCGACATCTGTGCAGACGACGGGTTATGCAGTTTCTTCCTATAACTCATGGAGCCTACGCCAGGCATCGTGGCTGTGCGAGGGGCACTCAACGGGGCCTTGGTTGCAATGGGAGGAGGATGGGGTCTTGACGCTGACATTTTTTTCTACACAGCGCTGGGACCGTTGACGTTAAGTTGTGCACCGGCGTGCCGCAGAGATGTGTCGTGCCCCCACTCGTCTTCTACATACTTGTTTAGCTCACGTTCGACGGGATGATCTTCTTCAGTGTTTGACGAAGGGACGACACGATATCTCCGGATGTGATAGAAACGGAGGCACCCCCTCCCTCGCCGCGCACGCCCCCGGACGGAAAGCGGGGAGGCGGGAGTGGGCGCTCGGACAAGGCCGTGGCCAAGGCCGTCGCTGCGAAGAAGCGCGGCGCGACGCCGACAGGAGGCGCGGCGGCGTCCAGTGGGTCCGGCGGGGGCCGGGCCGCCAAGGCCCCTCGGCGCCAGGGCAGGGGCGGCAGGGGCAAGAAGCTGAACAACACGGGCGAGGTTCTCAGCTGTGCGGCGCGGGAGTTCTTGCACGCACGCGAGGACGTGGCAAACCTGAAGGCCGCCTCCAACCTCCTGGTCTTTGTGTTGGACAATGACTTGAAGTCGCAGATCGCCACCTCGGCCGGGGTGTGGGCCGAGAACAAGCCAGAGGAGGCTGAGACGCCGCACCCGCTTGGCTGCAGCAGGCGCACGGTGGTTCTCGGTTCCATGCTGAGCACCATCGTGGACCTGGACGGCGTGTCGGAGGGCCCGCACAAGGCCGCGGCTGCAGCGCTCAAGCGCATGTCGCTTGGCCAGATGGACAGCCTGGTGGCCACGTGCAAATCCCGGCACAACAAGCCTGACGAGAAGCACCCGTGGATCTTCACGCTCGCGGTGCGCCCGGGTATGGACCCGGACCAGCACAAGAAAGTCCACGCTCTCGCCGGTATCTTCGTGGAGAAGAAGCTCCGTGTGGTGCACGAGGCGCCGCGCCAGAGCCCGGAGGCAGATGCGCTGTGTCTGTGGCTCAAGACACAGTAGGTGCACGATCCTCGCATTCTCACGGTACGTCGTCCCTCCCTCCTCCTCCTGCCCCCTCTCCACCGACATCTGTGCAGACGACGGGTTGTGCAATTGTTTTCCTTTAATTCATGGAGCCTACTTCAGAACATAATTTTGTTCATCGGCCAGGCATCGTGGCTGTGCGAGGGGCACTCAACGGGGCCTTGGTTGCAGTGGGAGGAGGATGGGGTATTGACACTGATACTACACAGCGCTGGGACCGTTGACATTAAGTTGTGCACCGGCGTGCCGCAGAGATGTGTCGTGCCCCCACTTCGTCTTCTACAGATTTCCCAACCATCCTGTAGTGTTGGGTCTTCGTTTTGAAGAGACGGTCCCCGCGTTCTCCTCTCATCTCCTCTCCTCCTCCCCCTCCTCCCCCTCCCCACCGAAGGCCCCATTGCTGCCGCCCGCATGCGTCACCCGCACCCAATTCGGCACACCCCTCGCACGTTTCGTGGCCCCATAGGGACCGAAGGCCCCAGTGCTGCCGCCCGCATGCGTCCCGCACACCCAATTCGGCGCACCCCTCGCACGTTTCGTGGCCCCATAGAGAGCCCCACCGAAGGCCCCACTGCTGCCGCCCGCATGCGTCCCGCACACTCAATTCGGCACACCCCTCACACGCTTCGTGGCCCCACAGGGAGCCCCACCGAAGGCCCCAGTGCTGCCGCCCGCATGCGTCCCGCACACCCAATTCGGCACAGCCCTCACACGTCTCGTGGTTTCATAGGGAGCCCCACCGAAGGCCCCAGTGCTGCCGCCCGCATGCGTCCCGCACGCCCAATTCGGCACACCCCTGACACGTTTCGTGGCCCCATAGAGAGCCCCACCGAAAACGCCAGTGTTGCCGCCCGCATGCGCCCCGCACACTCAATTCGGCACACCCCTCACACGCTTCGTGGCCCCATAGGGAGCCCCACCGCAGGCCCCAGTGTTGCCGCCCGCATGCGCCCCGCACGCCCAATTCGGCACACCCCTCACACGCTTCGTGGCCCAATGGGGAACCCCACCGAAGGCCCCAGTGCTGCCGCCCGCATGCGTCCCGCACGCCCAATTCGGCACACCCCTCACACGCTTCGTGGCCCCAAAGGGAGCCCCACCGAAGGCCCCAGTGCTGCCGCCCGCATGCGCCCCGCAACCTCGAATTCGGCACACCCTTCACACGCTTCGTGGCACCGTAAGGAACCCCACCGCAGGCCCCAGTGTTGCCGCCCGCATGCGCCCCGCACGCCCAATTCGGCACACCCCTCGCACGTTTCGTGGCCCCACAGGGAACCCCACCGAAGGCCCCAGTGCTGCCGCCCGCGTGCGTCCCGCAAATCCAATTCGGCACAGCCCTCACACGCTTCGTGGCCCCATAGGGAGCCCCACCGAAGGCCTCAGTGCTGCCGCCCGCATGCGTCTCGCACACCCAATTCGGCACACCCTTCACACGTATCGTGGCCCCATAGGGAGCCCCACCGAAGGCTCCAGTGCTGCCGCCCGCATGCGCCCCGCACACCCAAGTCGGCGCACCCCTCGCACGCTTCGTGGCCCCATAATGGGCCCCACCGGAGGCCCCAGTGCTGCCGCCCGCATGCGCCCCGCACGCCCAATTCGGCACACCCCTGACACGTTTCGTGGCCCCATAGAGAGCCCCACCGAAGGCACATGTGCTGCCGCCCGCATGCGTCCCGCACACCCAATTCGGCACAGCCCTCACACGTTTCGTGGCCCCATAGGGAACCCCACCGAAGGCCCCAGTGCTGCCGCCCGCAGGCGTCCCGCACACTCAATTCGGCACACCCCTCACACGCTTCGTGGCCCCATAGGGAGCCCCACCGAAGGCCCCAGTGCTGCCGCCCGCATGCGTCTCAATTCGGCACACCCCTCACACGCTTCGTGGCCCCATAGGGAGCCCCACCGAAGGCCCCAGTGTTGCCGCCCGCATGCGTCCCGCACACCCAATTCGGCACACCCCTCACACGTTTCGTGGCCCCAGAGAGAGCCCCACCGAAGGCCCCAGTGTTGCCGCCCGCATGCGTCCCGCACACCCAATTCGGCACACCCCTCACACGTTTCGTGGCCCCATACCCAGAGGGTCGCCCAGCGCAAGAATTAAGCGATTCCCGGAAAAATTAAGCTAAGTGTAAGAAATGGTTTTGTTAATTGATCATCCTTCGCAGGCGCAAGAATTGAGCTAACCATATATGTAGTTATAATCATATCAGCATATCATATATACGCTTATACGTGTTATGTTATAAATGTAGCACTGTATATGTATGCGCATTTAAGCGCTTGTATGTACATATAACATACGTGACAGAGAGAGCTAGGGACAGCGAACGTGCACATAAGGCGTCAGTGCGCGACCACCGTGCCTGGCCAGGGCGCCAGTATGGCAGACCTCCATGACCTCGCAGGAGGTCGCACGCGCCATGCCAGCTCCCCAGGTGGCCCTGGCCAAGCATGGTGGTTGCGTATAGCCGCCTGCTGCGCACTCCGATCGCAATAATCCTCCTGCAACCCTGCGATCGAGCTCCATGCCCAAATTGAGGGAAAGGAAGAGGCGGGATCGGGGCGCGGTGAGGGATCGAGGGGATGAGGCAAGATCGGGACGATCGAAATGGGCATGAAAAAAAATCGAGTACAACGACCAGCAGCATGTCTGGCTCATGTTGGACAGGACTCGCTGGTGTCGCCGCGGCATGGAGACCAGAAGGCCGCCTACTCAACAGCGGCAGGACAACATTTGTTGTTGGACATTGTACTCGTTTTTTCCGTACACATTTCGGGCGTACAGGATGAGGATGCACGCGGGCTGTTTGCGCACGTCGGCGCTCACGGTCGATCTAGACTGCATCACGCGTCTTGACCTCTACCTTCAGTTGCTTCGCCTCGTCGACCACTTTTGCGATGCCCTGCAGCGGGGCGCGGGGATGATGACGACCGCGATGGCGAGGGGGGGGAGGAGGAGGGCGAGGCGGAGGCGAGGAGCTCGAGGAGGAGAGGAGGAGCAAAGGGGGCGCGGAGAAAAGATCGAATTGGGGCACGAATCGGGGAGACTGCGCGACGTGGAGGACGGGTGGGTCGAGAGAGAAAATTAGATTGAGAAGGGCGGGTTACCATCACCATCATCATCACCGCCATCACCATGGCATCATCAGCATCATCATCACCAGCATTAGCACCAGCATCATCGTCATCATCAGCATCATCGCCATCATCATCATCATCATCGTCGTCATCATCATCAGCATCAGCAGCATCATCATCACCATGATCGTCCTCATCCTCGTCTTCCTCATCATCACCAGCATCACCACCATCCTCAGCATCCGCGCCCTGCATGGCCCTCAAGAGTCCCCATGCGCCCCCGCAAGCCTCGCAGAAACGCTTCGGGTAGTGGCCAGTCCAGCGGGACCAGGGGTCGTCGCCCGTCTCGGCTTTAATCTTCCTGAATTTCTCGAACAGCTCGCCCTTGGAGACAACGATGGATGAGGAGAGAGAGAGAGAGAGATAGCGATCGAGAGAGAGACAGAGAGAGAGAGAGAGAGCTCTAGAGAGAACGAGAACGAGAGAGAGCGGGGGAGAGAGAGCGAGCGACATAGATAGAGAGATCGACAGAGAGAGAGAGAGGGAGAGAGAGAGAGCCAACAAAAAAAAAAAAAAAAAAAAATATGTTAGAGAGTGGGGGAGAGGGAGATCGAGAGAGAGATAACAGAGGGAAGGGAGAGTGATGCGATATCAGAACGAGGGAAACAGAGAGAGAGAGCGAGAGAAGGAGTGAGAGAGAGATGCGTTCACACGCAGACCAACAATTCGAAGTCCACGCGTCCACCACGTGATCGCCGTCGACACCACGCGGTCAGCCCATTCGAAAACACGCTGAGCCACGCGGGACAGGACCGTCACGATCGAACAACATGTTCATATAGTGTCGGCATCGATGTAATATACACGCGGGCCATGCCATGACGCATGGCGGAATCAACCGAGACAGAAACCGCGGCGTGACCTACAATGTCTGATTCGTTAGGCAACGAAAAGAGGTAGCGGAAAACATGCGTCCACGTTCTTGTGCAAGTGCACTTGGACGCTGTGCTGGATCTCAGGGTTGACCATCAGCTTCCAGGGATTCTCCTTCCGCTCGCCGCTCACGTCGCAGAATTCTGCGAGCGAGAGTGGAGGGGGGATGTGCGAGCGACTGGCTAACCGACGCGAGCGGAAACGCGAGCGACATCACGTGAGTAAGAGCCGATACCATCTCCCAACACGCCCAGTTTCCCCAAGAGGCGTTGAGACGTTGGAAGGATAGGGGCAACTATAGTACGATGGGGAGGGGGCGATAGAGAGATAGAGAGAGAGAGAGGGCGAGCGGGCCAGTTATCTATATGGAGCGGGCGAGGCGTTGAGCGAGTCAGAGCGAGAGCGAGAATATAGAGGCACGGGGGGGGGGGGAGATCGAGTGAGAGACCGAGGTCTATAAGAGAGAGAGAGAGAGACACCATATAGCGAGACTGTATAGAGGGAGAGCTGGGAGTTGAATGCGCGGGGGGAGAGATCAGCGAGAAAGAGAGAGAGAGAGGGAGAGAGAGAGAGAGAGAGAGGGAGAGAGAGAGAGAGAGAGAGACCGAGAGCGAGACAGGGGCCGTGGGAGAGCGCGAGGGGGAGAGACGCCAGAAATGGATACTGCACGAACAATAAATACAGTCCTGATATATTCGTGATGATCTGCACGAAGCCCATGGATGCGAGCATGTTGACCTGAGGGGCATCGGGCGGAGGGACGGAGGCGGGGCGCATGGGGTGAGGATGACTGCCCCCCAGCCCTCTCACACCTCGCTCCCTCGCTCGAGATATACGATCGTGTTCTATATACGACTGGAGGCAGGGGGGCGGGTGGGCGCGCCACACATCGGGCCCTGGCGGCCTGTTCAGGGTGCGCGTAGAATTCAGAGCCGACGGGCTGGTCGAATATGCAGTGGACACCC